GTGTTTTAATTTATACACAAAGATTACTACTGTGTTGAGAGAAAAGTACAGTTGGATACGACGTATAAACATTATAACTGTAGTCTACGTGCACAAAAACAGATTCAGTGTCCTTCAGTACCTTTAAAAAGGATTAGAAACTTGTGAAATGCACATCGGGGATATTCAAATATGCATCCTTTTCTTCATGCATTACAGTAAGCTGCACTTCAATTATATACATAAGTGAATTTACATTTGGTTTAGCCTAAGGTGCATTCATGTAACATTTTACTTTTGTTTTAAAACAGCTTAACATGTTTCGAAAGTATACATTTCCAAGTTAAAACAAAACAAACAACAGTAAGATTGTCAGATATTATAATTTTAGTATCTTACAAGACTAATATACTACTTTTAAAATAAATTTTTTATTTTTTAAAAACTTTCTCCAAACTGCACTTAACATCTGCAAAACATTTTTGTGTTGGCCATAAACATTATTTAGGTGATTATTGAACTGATAATATTTGTAACTAATAAAAGTACAATTGCCAGTCAAATAATGAAACAGGTATGTGTTTAGATGTTTTTTAGAACTTAGTTGATAAGACTTCTTTCTGATGTTGCTTTTTTTGTTCATTTCTGTTCTTGGTCGATGTCTGTTGGAATTTTGTTTTTGTATTTGTAGAAAACTGCCGTTATCGAGTGGCATTGACTCCTGGTAAAGAAAATATTGATTGCTTTGGAAATAAGATGGAAAAATACCCAATCTGCAGCTCTGGCAACTCTACGCCATCATGCCAGATCAAAGAGGGAATTGGAGAGACTTGTATTCAGTGGAGAGCGGACATCAAACTAAGATGTGTAAAACACTCTACCCATGATTTTATTGACCTTAAGGGTAATACATGTCACAAACTTTCAACACTGGATGTTCTGGAATTATCAATGTCAAGTTCTAATGTTCATAAAAATAAATAAAACATCTCGTTCTCTATCACAGAATCAAAGTGTGCCCTTGACCAACAACGTAAGTAAAAAACAAAAATAAATAAAGAATTATAACAATAAATAATAATTATAATAATAAATATGTTTTTTTAGCTAACAGCTGCAATGGAGAGTACAGATCTGGTAAATTTATTTATTTAATCAAAGCATTTAAAATTCAAACAAAAGTTAAATGTTTTATATGAAAACATATTCTTCACCCTGATGTCAAAAGATTTTGTTTCCTCAGGACCTGTGGATTCAAATTCTGCATCAACCCTGTCAATTGGTAAGACTATAAAACTAAAAGGTAAATAGATGTTTGCATTCATCAAAAGAATATTTTCAGACATTTCATTCACACATTTCTGTTTTTTCAGGCCTTCCAATATGCCTTGGGACTGCTATATGGGTTACACTATTGGAACTAATTATTTAATTCATGTAACTTTAAGCTATTTTCCTTTTCTTCTTTTAACGTAATTAAACACTATAAGTGACCATTGCCAAGACAAGCCTATATTTTTTTTTAATAAATTGTATGGGCCAAATTAATCTATCTATCTATCTATCTATCTATCTATCTATCTATCTATCTATCTATCTATCTATCTATCTATCTATCTATCTATCTATCTATCTATCTATCTATCTATCTATCTATCTATCTATCCATCCATCCATCCATCCATCCATCCATCCATCCATCCATCCATCCACCCACCCATCCATCCACCATCCATCCATCCATCCATCCATCCATCCATCCATCCATCCATCCATCCATCCATCCATCCATCACTGGTTTTGTGGTCTGTAGTGTTATAAAATAAAAAAAGAGGTTCAGAGTTCTGAGGTTTGTATTTTGAATTTACACATACAAAATATACAGTAATGCATAACAGAATCAAAGAGCAAACAGACTAAACAATTTACATTTCAGACTACGAATGTCTGTATTCTAAATCCCCCTATTTACATCATTAGTTTTCATGAACACACTTATTTTATTTTGAAATAAGTAAAAAGTTTTTTGAATTAATTAACTGTTCATTCTGGCCTTCTTTTTAATCATACACTTAAGCCCTATTTGCAGGGATTATTATTAGTCTTTTGGTACTTGATGACATCTAATCGTTTGTAACTAATGCGGAGACGATCTTTGAACTTAATCTTGTGCAATAGGCCAGTAGTAACTGCAAGGATAAAATGCAACATTGCTCACTTTTCTCCACAAGGGGGCAATAAAGATAAGTTATTTTGTTGTTAAAAAATGACTGAACTGGAAAAACAGCGCTAATATTACCTATGCCCTTTAAATGTCTAGAATGGGCCCTGTATAGCAATATTAAACATGAACATTAGAAGGTATGTTGAATATACAGTACCACTTCATAAAATGTATCACATCTGAAATAATCATCAAATCAGTGGCATAGTGAAATCACATAACCCATACACTCACCAGCACTTTATTACGTATGCCTTACTATGGTAGGTTGGACCCCCTTTTTGCCATCTGAACTACCTTAATGCTTTATAGCATATATTCAACAAGGTACTGGAAATAATCCTGAGATATTGGTCCATATTGACATGATAGCATCACGCTGTTGCTGCAGATTTTTCAGCTGCACATCCATGATGTGAATCTCCCGTTTTACCACATTCCAAAGGTACTCTATTGGATTGAGATCTGGTGAATATGGAGGCCATTTGAGTACAGTGAACTCATCGTCATGTTCAAGAAACCACGCTGAAATGATTTGCGCTTTATGACATGATGCATTACCCTGCCAGAAGTAGCCATCAGAATATGGGTACAATGTGGTTATAAAGGGATAGACATGGTCAGTAACAATATTCAAGTAGGCTGTGGCATTGACTAAATGCTCAATGTGTGTGCCAAGAAAATATCCCCCACAAAAAACTTTGCCTTGTCTGATGAGACTCGATTTCTGCTGCAATATTCAGATGGTAGGGTCAGAATTTGGCATCAACAACATGAAAGCATGGATCCATCCTGCCCTGTATCAATGGTTCACGATGCTGGTGGTGGAGGTTTAATGGGGTGGGGGATATTTTCTTAGCACACTTTGGGCCCATTAGTACCAATTGAGCATTGTGTCAAAGACACAGCCTACCTGAATAGACTCCTCAGACCAGGCAACGTTTTTCCAATCTTCTATTGTCCAAGTTTGGTTAGCCTGTGCGAATTGTAGCCTCAGTTACTTGTTCTTCTTAGACAGGAGGGGCACCCGGTGTAGACTTCTGCTGCTGTAGCTCACCTGCCTCAAGGTTCGATGTGTTGTTTGTTCAGAGATGCTCTTCTGCAAACCTCTGTTGTAACGAGCGGTTATTTGAGTTACTGTTGCCTTTCTAATAGCTTGAACCAGCCTGGCCATTCTCCTCTGACCTCTGCCATCAACAGAGCATTTGCGCTCAAAGAACTGCCATTCACTGGATGTTTTCTTTTCAAACCATTCTCTGTAAACCCTAGAGATGGTTGTGTGTGAAAAAATCAGTAGATCAGAAGTTTCTAAAATACTCAGACCAGCCCATCTGGCACCAGCAGCCATGCCAAAATTCACTGAGTTGCAGCCATGTGATTGGCTGATTGGAAATTTGGGTTGATGAGCAGACGGACAAGTGTACCTTATAAAGCTGGTGTTTGTATGCTTACATTAGGAAAGCCATTCAACATTCAAAAGTAAGAAAAAACTATGAAGAGAAGTGCCTTTTGCTGAGGATATGCACTTTAATACAAATTATACACATATTCTGACTGTCCTGTATCCATTCAAAGAAATCTGGTCAACTTAGCTTTTCAGCAAATTTAACTAATTTATAATTAGTTAATAATAATAATAATTAATGATGATGATGATGATCTCTAATGCCCTGTTCCTGTCTGAATTTTAAAAATGTATGTTTTATATTTCAGTCTGAAGTCAAGTGGAATGTTTTTGACCATGTTTTGGGTCACATTGATTGTCACTTGATCGATGCTGTCTATGGAGGATCTCATCCTCATCGCTTTCAGATTTCAACCAAAATATTTAAATTTAGGGTGAGTAATTAATAATATAATTAACATTTTTGAGTGACATATCACTTTAAGTGCACTAATTTATAATAATCCCTGCACCATTCCTTAAAAAATAAAACTTAAACATTTTGATTTAGCGTTTACTGTTAAGCCAAATGGCTAGTTTGGCAACAGCAAGTGCTAGTCAGTAATGACTCAAGCACATGGGCAATTAACTAAACACCCTGCTTGTTTGGCCATTAAAACGGTGTTAAATTTCCATCACTAGTGCTATTGAAAACAGGCATAAGTTCAGTACCAAAGCAACAACTGCCTTACTTGCTTGCAGGCTATAGTGATTGTGACTGACAGCAGCTCCTGGGGTTTATAGTGGAGGTGATGGGAGGAGGGCCTCACGGGGCCAGCTCCACAGCGCTCATTCCAAACCTTTGGTCCCCCATGGTCTGTTTTCCCAGAATGCCCTGTAGAAACTCCAACCTCTCAGGCTCCGAGTGTGTGTTTATTCTGAGTTAATGAATGAGCTAGTGTTGGAGCGAAAGTGGGTGAGTAAATGCTAATCACATCCCTTTCCCTCCAAATAAAACCTCCATTTCGCCCCTTTCCTGTTTTCTTTTATTCCCCCTTTCTTAAATCATCAGCAATCATGCCTCAAAAAGACAAATCAAAGGTCAAGAAAGAAATGTTCTACTAGAAAAACACAAGAAAGGCGGGGATTTAGTGCATGAGGAATGTAAAGCCAAAGTTGAGGTGTCATTTGTGATGTCAACTCTCACTTCTCCAACAATGCCAATTGAGTAAACATGCACAAATGGTAGTGGAGAGAGAGATATAGAGAGAGAAAGGAGGGGCCGTCCTTACTTGCTCTTTTAAGTGGGAGTGAGAGGAGGTCCAGAGGGAGGAGGCAAACGGGGAGAGCAGGATCAAGAAGGAGAGAGAGTGAGGAAAAGAAGTGGCGCTCTGTTTTTGCAGAGCAGTCTGGGACCATGCTGTCAGGCAGCTCTCTCATCTGGATTGGGGCGCTGCTTCTGGGGCTCGAGGCTTCGCTGACCGGGGCATCTGACTTCCAGCACCATGGCTATGAGGAGATGGTGAGGGCTCTTTTTGCCGTCCAGAGCGAATGCCCCTACATCACTCGCATTTACAGCATCGGTCGCAGCACAGAGGGACGGCACCTATATGTCCTGGAGTTCAGTGATAATCCTGGCATCCATGAAACATGTGAGTCTTGTGTTTACTCTTTTACCAAGGTATTAAATTCCTCACCCATATAACTTGAGTTGAGTCTGCAGGGCAGCCAGAGGTAATCATTTAGGTCTGATTGCATAATTTGGGCTGTTTTCGGAGAACTGCACTTAACAGAAATAAAGCTTCGGCTGGCCAATTTTAAGCGGCAACTTGATTTATATTGTTGCCTCTCAAACAGTCTGTAAATTGTATTTAGAAATGGACAGTAATGAGTGTAAGGGGGGAGTGTGTGCCTGGAGATGTTGGTGGTGAGTGTTGCAAACATCAGTCTTATCACTGATCTAAATCAAGAACATTCCCAGAGGAAAGAAAATGTGTTTCTTTAATAGCGAAGTTGTTACTCTTGGAAACAAAGAACAAATGAATGTTTCTGATCGCACTGAAAACAAGACCTCATTAATCTTGCACGTGAGAAAAGAAAGGAGAATAATCTGTCAAATTGAGCCCAGACTGGGCAAAACATCAATGTTTGCAATCAAAAGTCTTGAAGAAACCAACTAATCTGTTCTATGCCACTCATACTGTCTAGCTATCCAAGGCATTTTAGAAAAACATCTGATGTCAATACAGTGTAACTAAGGGCTCTATTTGACATTACGAAATGTGACAGAACAACTGCTGAGCAGTAAAATTTCCTTGTTTATTTCAGTCTGCAGACCTTGTTTCTTTGTTCCCTCAAATTCAAAACACATTCAGCTCTCAGCTACTGGAAGCAACTAAGATATATCATCAAAAAAGTTAATTAATCAGCTTATGAAAGCAAATAATCTTTGTCATCAGATAAAGAAGATCTGCTTCTCTTGGCAATATGTGTACAAAGGTAAAGCCTCAGAGAGAATTGCAGGATGTATACATGTTCCACACAGAGTACAAAAACAGGAAAAGGTACAGCAGAGTGGGCAAAGTCAGTGTGACCTGACCCTTTAGATTGCAAACAATGTTTGTACTTCATGCATTAATGTCGAGGACACTCTTTGGTGACTCTTTGAGCAGTGCCATAGCACTGTTAATTTAATTACATGGTGATTAATGGGAAGACTATGATAAGTCTGCCTGCACACAGTGGCTAATTAGATTTGCGATCTCGCTGTCACTCACTTCTGCACCAAAAAAGAACAAACGGAAATCTGCTGGTACTTGTTAGAAGAGATAATTGTGAATAATGAGCTGACAACTGGCTGTGAGACAGGAATTTCGATGAGAGTGGCCTGCTGCGCTGCTAAACAGTCAAAAAGCCTTTGTATGGGATGAAAATGAAAAATATTAATTCAAATATTTGGACAGTTCACGTAAATTCTGTCATCAAATCTTTTTTTTTTTTTACAAATATATTGTAAGGCATCAGAATAATTGTAATGTAATGTATTGGTTTACTTTTTACTGCTTTTTGGAGGCTATTTATCAAAGCATTTCTTTTGCTTTGTAATAATTTCAACTTTACAAAATATATCACAAATATACATCAAAGTTAGGGAAATACAAACTCCGAATTACAAGAAATGAACTTACATTGTCTTAGAATTTTCAGTTTAAATCTTGTTTTTTTTCCTCACATTTGGAAATTAGAAATAGTTTATAGTGTAGGCCTTCTCACACTTTCTCTTCACAATCGGCACTTTATTTCTTGTAATCTGAAAGATTTCCATATATTCTGCATTTCAGAACTTTAAAAAATAGAAAATTGTAAGATATAAGCATGCAAATTCTGCAAAGGGAAGTCAGAACTGTGAGATTTTATATATGTATATATGAAGAGTTTAGATGCAAAAACCTCTAAATGCCATCTGAAATTTTGCTATAAAATAAGTATTTTTATCAGGTTTCTGTGTATGTTTAGTAATATAATTTGTATCGCAAAGAATAAGTCCTTTTCCTGGTTTTGAAATAACTCAACATAAACAATGCAGGCCGAGAAAAATTATTAAAACCTTTTTTAAATTTCGATGGAAATTTCAGACGGTGTTTGCATCTGAACTTTTCATATATATTTTCATTCCATAGCAGATATATGTTTCCATATCTCCATTCACACTCATTGCCTTTAAAAAATACCTTTCTCTTGTTGTCTTCCACAAAACAAAAGTCATGAAGATTTGGATCGCCATAAAGTTTAGTAAAGGATGAAAGAATCTCTTGACAAATTTTCAAACTTCATAATCGGTCAGAATTAGAGCAGTGGCTTTTTCTGAATTGTTTCATCTTCATGCATAGTGCTTGTTGCATGCTATTCACGGATGTGACCCTATGACCTCACAACTTCCTGACTGATGGTCACCTGACCTGTGTTTTTCAGTGGAGCCGGAGTTCAAGTACGTCGGGAACATGCATGGAAATGAGGTGCTCGGAAGGGAGCTGCTCATCTATTTATCCCAGTTCCTGTGTGAGGAATACCGGGCAGGAAACGAGCGAATCACGAGGCTCATCCACGACACACGAATCCACATTCTTCCTTCCATGAACCCTGATGGATATGAGGTGGCAGCCAGGCAGGTATACATCCTTTAGTAACTAATCTACAGTTTCAAATAAATATTCTACTACCCAAGTACTGTTTATAGAATATATCAAAAATATATAAACTCAGAATCACAAGAAATTTTACCTAAAATTCCATGTTTAAATCTTGTACTTCTACCGCTTTTCCTCAAAACCAGGCCCTGATTGGCTAATCGGGAGGACCGGGAGAAGTCCCGGTGGGCCGGTTCGTTTTTTGGCCGGTATCCCTAAGTCCAGAATCTGTTGCTATCAGCAGTCACACTTTTTAAATTAATTTATTTATTTAGTTGACCACAGCCTTTTTATTCAGTATTTTACCGCAGCTCTACTCTTTTTTTAGATGTCACTATTCAATGAACAGCTGTTGTGGTTCAGTGGATAGCACGTTAGTTTACGACGTCGCAGACTCGGGTTCGATCCTCGTCTGAGTAATTTATTTTTTTCAGTTTTATTGTTAAGACATATAATACTGTTAGGGTTGTTGAACATTTAAGTTCTAAAGCAGCTGTTTTCTCAACAAAAAAAAGACGTGATAGTGTCATTAGAAACTGAATTGGAAATTTTATTAATTTAATATAGTAATAGTGAACTGAGGTGGGCTGTTCTGAGGCTTGAAACTCCAGGGCTGAAAAGGAGTCCCACTCCGGCCCTGCTTAAAACTGACACTATTTCTAGCAATTCAGAGTTTGTATTTAGCATATCTGACCTAAATCTTTACTTTGTCAATTTTGTATTTTACAAATTGTTCCAACTTTTTTTTTTTTTTTACTTTTTGAGAGTTGAAAAGTTAGAATTATAAAATTGTGAGAGATTTTTTACTCTATTGTGAGTTTGTATCTTAACAAAGTAAACATTTTCAGAGTAAAAGTTTGTAAATATAAAGAAATTTTGATGGCAGCAATTACCGATAATGATAACCTTGGATAAAAATATCACGGTTTCACTATATTGTGATTACTGCTCTAAAATATATATTTTTTAAATATCTGGGTAAAAAACAAGAACTTTTTTCCACTCCAACACAATGGCTGCATCCGAAATTGCATACTTTAATACTATATAGTACGCTAAAAAAGTATGCGAGCTGAGTAGTATGACCAAATTCAACGTATTTGAAAAACAGTAGGTGAGAAGTACCTGGATGAACTATTACGCACGGCAAGATTCTGAAGTGTGCATCCGGTGGACGCTACGCTTTCCTATGATGCACCACAAGAGTATTCATGAATGGTAGTGAAGTGGGTGTGTCATGTGGTCATGGTAATTTGGAGGATGTAGTATGTCCGAGCTTTATTCATACTGATTAAATTCCTTTCGGATTTCGGAGACAGCCAATATATTTTATTTTGAGATATACATGTCAGGCTAAATAATTGAAATAAATCATTAGGTAGGTTTCTATCCAAAAATGCAAATTAAATGTATGCACAAAACTGGAATATTGAATAAAAGATGCGCAAATAAAGCAGCGTTTCTATCCAACGAGTGCAAAAAAAAAACAAAGTCATCAATAGTAAAAACGGAAATTGCTGCGGCAGGAGACGCTACGCTAGTCTTTTCTTCATTTAATGTTGACTTTTATCTCAGAAGACAATGGCGAAAAGCAAAAAACGCGTGGTGGCGTTTGAAGGCATGAGATGTGGAGCGCTGATGCTCTTGACAGTTCTGGAGGTCATTATTAAAATAATAACACTAATACTGAAATGGTTAAGGGTTTAAGAATGGCCAAATAACATTTCAGATGTTTTACAATGTGCTAAGCTGCTTATTTGTCTATTTACACACATTTTTTATTAACACATCATCTCTTATAATAAAATCACACAACCTTTTTTAATGCAAATACAAAATTTGTTCAGTAAAAAAAGTGTAGTTTATGCCCATCTTTTTTTATTGAATAAAATGCTTATCTTACTCAGTTATGTGCATACGTTTTTATGCGCATTTTCAAAATGTGCATAAAAATAGGTGGATGGAAACAGACCCCCCTTTCCCCTTAATGATTGTGAAGCACTTTGAGTTTATGGCCATACACGATAAATGCGCTATATAAATACACATTACATTACAAGAACCCCCCCTGAAAACAGTTATCGTCCCATGCCTAGCAGCAGCATGTCCAAAATGTCCAAATTAAGCAGTTTTTAAACAGTTTACTATAAAAAAGTAAACTAATATATGAGGATTTCATATTTGGCTATAAAAGGAACATCTCAGAATTCGCAAGCAAGCTAGATTTAAATTAAGATCTTTAACAAATAATATTGTGAGAAGATTCAGGGAACCCAGAGAAATCTCAGTCTATGTTAAGACAGGAAACCTCAACTAAAGTGCTCGACCTCTGAGCCTTTACACACGCACACACGCGCACACACACACACACACACACGCGCACACACACACACACACACACACACACACACACAACATGTAACCAACAGACCATGTTACGAACACGACCATGCATATGTAAACACTTTTTTTATTCTGTGTGGCAGCTTTGGTGTGGGAGTGTTGAAAATCTCTAGTGGGCACCAGTTTGTTATGTAGGAATCAGCCGTATCCCATAATGCATTGCTGGCTTTCTTCTGAGACTAATTACACATCTATATATAAAACAATGCACACAGAAATAGCATTTTGGGCAACGCATCCACACACCTACAACATTCACACATCTAAAATACAAAATTACAGTAATGCAGACTCTTTCTTGATCTTTCAGACTAATTATATGTCCAGCAGTAAATGGTGGTTGAAAGTGGCCGCGCAAACCCAGTTATCAAGCGTCTCGCTGGACCAGACAAGAAGTAGCAGAGGAAACCACCTCAGCATCAGACAGGGTTTATTTAACATGCTCGAACTCGCTTACACAACTCACACAAGCACAACCGACCGCTTGAGGTGTAAGTTTCACACCTGACATACTGAGAATGTTAAAAGGTAATAGCTCTCCTTAAGGGTTACTTAAGGGATAGGACGTTATGGGCTCTTCATCTGATTTTACAGGGTCCAGAGTTCAACGGCTACTTAGTCGGACGTGGAAACTCAAAGGAAGTGGACCTGAACCGCAACTTCCCAGACCTAAATGCTCTGATGTACTACTATGAAAAGCACAACGGACAAAACCACCATCTGCCACTGCCGGATAACTGGGAACTACAGGTGGGCATCAGTCAATGTTACTACTACTGGTAAGATACAGTGTCTGTTTAAAATGAGAGACTAGTCATTAGGTTTGTTATGGAGTTTGTGAAAGAGCTGAAAATCTAATAACCATCTAAAAATAGACCAAAACAAGACTAGTTATCAAATAGACAGATTAGATAGACTTTATTGTGTAGTCATTCATTTCTGTTTATTTGATGACTAGTTTTGGCCTATTCTTAGACGTCTATTAGATTTTTAACTAACAGCCCAAGTTTAGCTTTGTTTTAGACAAGACGGCTATGTTTAGACATCTATTAAACATTCATTAGACATCTTTTAAAAACGAAAAATGCTTGCTGTGTACCTTTTTAACAATTACATTACATTATTTTATATTGAAATCCTCTAATTTCCCCCCAAAATGTCGGACTTAATATGCTAAAATAATCATTGATAGGGCAGTTAAGGAAATTGAATAATTAAGAGGGACTGGCGCTGGTGTTATTATACAGTAATTTATTTAAGATTCCCATCCCCACCTATTATTATATGCATCCCCAGGTAATCAAGCCTTTGATCAGACTGATTTTAAAGGGAAAAAAGTGTAATAACAACTCTCAAAGATACACATTAATAATTATACAAACATGCCATAGTGAGGGATCTGTAGACGGGTTGTGTGTACGTTTCCATTGTACAATGTTTTAATGTACTATTAATCTCATATACAGTACATAATTCCTGTTGCAGTCTTAAGTGAAATTCAGGATAGTGCCAGTTTCCTGCATTGCGAAGAAAAACGTTTTTGTTTTTACAGTTGGACAGCACACTTAAGCTCTCCATTAGTCTGTCGGTAACCCACCCAACTCTCAAACTGCCGCTCTGCTCTCTATCAACCACCAACAGGCCCACCTTTCACAAGACAGGCTTGGTCTGTGTAAATGAACTTTTTTTTTAGCCAGTACTGCTGTTAGTCATCATTGCGTGCTCAGGATATTTTTTTAGTTAGTCTTTCAAAACTTGCTGAGTAATATAAAGTCAGTCTTATCTGCAAGGATCCATGCAATCCATCATTTCGATTTGCTACAAAGAACATCTTGTGCTTCTATGGAATCAAAAACACCTGACTTTTTATCCAAAGTATACCTTGCATGCTCACAAATATGCTTATCTGAAACTGATCCAGAAATAGTACAGAATAGGGCACATTTCTTCTTTATTTAACATAATAAATGAAAGAATTCCAGATTTTTGGACTCATCTCATTCTGGCAGCTCTTTCCAGGAACAACTCTCTATTTTTCTCAGTCTAAAATGAGATCTCCAGCTTTAGAGAAGTACATCCACTGGCTGCCAGACGTCCCTCGGGATAACAACAAAGAAAGAAGAGCAGCCGGAGGAGTAAGACATGTTCCAGTAACGTCTATGTGAGTCAGGAGTTGTCATTCTCATATCAAACTGTGCGCGTGACCCCCTGACCCGTAGTACTACACAAGCCTAAGCAGAGCGAAAACATCTGTGTGCGTTCACAGCACGAAACCTGACTCTTCAATGACAGCCGGGGCCAAAGGGACGCTTGGCTGTTTATATATACAGATCCATGCATAATAAATACAGAGTCTCCTCAAAACAGGGCATGGATGTGATCAATAGCCCAGCAGCCATCTCAAAGGAGCCAGACAGACTGATTTTAGGGTCAGGTGGAGGTTTATTATCCCTTCACCTCTGGTGGGATGCATTACCACATGTCAGATCTCTCAGATAGCACTGCTGAAGGAATATTCCAGAAAAGCTGCTTTTGGGAGTATCATGGCACATAAACTTAAACAACGGATGAAATAACGTACACTGTGTGCGTTTTTTAATCAGATTTTTTTGTTTGCTCTTGGTTCATACAGGTGGAGCCGGAGACCTTAGCTGTGATCAAATGGATGCAGAACTATAACTTTGTTCTGTCTGCTAATCTTCACGGTGGAGCTGTAGTTGCTAACTACCCCTTCGATAAGTCACGGGAGCCCCGGATAAGAGGCAAAACTACATATTCAGCCACTACTGATGATAAAATATTCAGAAAGGTAAGTTGTTGGCGTAATTTTCTACTTATACTTTACCTTGTTGTCCAGAAAATAAGCCACTAGTAAGTGTATTTCTCAAATCTGTGGCACTAACAAACCAATTCATAGGCATCACAGATTAAAATAAATAGTGTGAATTTGAGGGTATGGTTATTTGTTAGCTTGACCAATGGCGGACCGGTCGAGGGTTCAGGAAACCTGTTTGAAATCAGTCATTATTTCTGCAATACTGAATGGTGATGGTAAAAAAGCAACGGTTACTCTACTGAAAAAATAATAAAATCCTGTCTAGCCAACAGTTCAAAATCCTTCTGAAATCAACCAAATATTGGACAACTAAGATCAGCCTAGTATGGCAAACCAACTGGTTAAGTAAAGACATTTCTGCTTTAGAAAAAGTTACACTTTTAGAAACAATTGTAAGAAAGCCTTAAATATTGTAAACATTGTGAGTCTGTGGCATTATCAAGTCATTATATGGGTAACACTGATTCACCCCCCTAAAAAAAAAAATTGCCATCCTTGTGGTTTTAAAACTATTTGAGTTTCTTTCTTCTGTTGAACACAAAAGAAGATATTTTGAATAATGCTGTTAGCTGGCACCCATTGACTTCTATAGGTTTTTTTCCTTCTATGGAAGTCGATGGGCACCAGCAAAAAGCATTTTTCAAAATACTTCTTTTGCTTTCAACAGAATAAAAAAACTCAAAAAGGTTTAAAATCCACATAAAAAATGATGAGATAATTTTAATGTGTGAGTGAACTATCCCTTTAAGACTATGGTTTTGTGCTTTAAAAAATATACATGTTCAGAAACAATTGTAAGCAAGCCACTAATACGTTTATTTCCCCATATAATGTAAATACCATGAATCTGGTGGCTCAGTGGTTAGCACTGGTCCCTCACAGTAAGAAGATCGCTGGTTTGAGCCCCAACTGTGTCAGTTGGCGTTTTTGTGTGGAGTTCACCACACGTTCATGGTCTCCTTGTGTTCATGTGGCTTTCCTCCGGGTGCTCCGGTTTCCCCCACAGACCAAAGATATGCACTATAGGTGAATTGAATAAGCTAAATTGGCCGTAGTGTATGTTTGAGTAAATGCAAGAGTGTATGGGTGTTTCCCAGTACTGGGTTGCGGCTGGAAGGGCATCCGCTGCGTAAAACATATGCTGGATAAGTTGGTGGTTCACTCCGATGTGGTGACCCCTGATAAATCAAGGGACTAAACCGAATGAAAATGAATGAATAAATATAATCTGATGTACGTTTTTTCTCCCTGCAAAATCGTTTCACAGAAATCACAAGAATCAACTAATAAAGAGAGTTGGCGGTTGCTATTTCCCTAAATTTCCTTGTGATTATTTACAGATTTATGTGTTGTGTGTTGTATGTGTGTGTTTGTAGCTGGCAAAGACATACTCTTATGCCCACAGTTGGATGCACAAGGGCTGGAACTGTGGCGATTACTTTGATGAAGGAATCACAAACGGAGCCAGCTGGTACTCTCTGTCTAAGGGTGGGTTGTATTTTACATACCACAGCTCTCATTCAATTACTTCAACAAGGCTTGCGGTTTTGTCTCATCTAAAAGCCTTGTAATTTAGCTGAGATTTGGAAATTACGAGCACTTTTATCTTTAAAGAAATGAGATTGTGTGATAGTTTAGGGGTTTTCACTTATAAGCGTGCCACCGCCTACAGTATGTCAGAAATTAACTTATTTAACAGCAGTTCATTCAAGTGTATTGCATTTTTTTTAATGAGTCACGTTTTTTTTTGTTAAAGTCTAACTAGGGCTTAAATAAAAAAGTTACACTTGGGTACTTCAAAAACAAGTAACATTCAAAAACATTTTAAAAGTATAATATAATACCAAAGAATTCCTTACCAGTGTAACTTCTGATGAAAACTACAAAAAACTCACACATTTTAAGGATTTAACACTTTAAACTACACTTAGCTTGTATAAATAATATTGCTTTTTTTTGTCTATGAAAAATAATAAAAATTAGTTTTTTTCTACATAAATGTGAACCAGATTTTTTGTTATTAGTCTTAGATAAATTTTACATCATTTTAATTTATTTGGCAATGCCCTTCTGACAAAAACCACAGGATAAACTTAAAAAAAAGGTATGAAACCATTACAAAACAATTCATATTTTCAAAAAATAATTTAACCTTTTCAAAGTTGTCTCCAACAAAATTTGAACCAATAAACACAGTGTTAGATCATACTCTCCACGCCAGATAAATCAGTTCTAGCCCCAGATGCCAGATCCTATCAGGAAATGTCAGTTTCCCCAGGTATCTAGACAACAAGTCAGAAGAGTTTCCAATACCCAAACTAGTTAACACATAATCAAAAGAATTAAGAATCTCCTCCTAAAAAAAGTTTACTAAGAAAGCCAAAGAGGAGCAGAAGCAGGAGACGAAGTCATGATGATAAAGAAAGAGCAGAGTTTATTGAATCTTAGTTGCATATGATTCAATTCTCAGTCTTTGTCTGACCAGGATAGTGTTATTATACCACAAGCAACAGCAATGGAAAATTACTGCTTTACAACATTATCTAGTAACAATAAAGACCTTGGAATGGAGACATTCTCTTATGTCTTACTCATGAAAACAAGTGTCGCTTGAATCCACACAGTCATAAGATTATAACAATATGGAAAAATAAAATAATAATAAAGCAATAATTATAGGAAAATAGTAATAATAAAATATAAAACTATGACAAATAGTGATCAAATCATAATCATTAACTAATGATAATGATAATTAATGACTAATGATACCAAAAAAATGATATAATGCTAATGATATAAATGACTAATAATAATAATACGATCAAATAAAATAAATAAATGAAGAATAAATGAATATGACTAATGAAAATAAAACATAACATGTGTGTGTTGTTTCAAGAAAACAACCATTCATTTAAGTTTGCTACAACGATTCCCAGATTCTTAGTTAGATTATTCAATAGGAATACATTTTTGGCTAAATTTATGCTGTTTGCATTAACAAAGCCACAGTTATCAAAAACACAAATGAAAGTGATTAAAAAATCCAAAAAGACACTAAAACAAATCATTAATTTAACACTGTACACGCCAAGCAACTACAACAGACTTTATGACCGATAAATGTTATCATTATCTGCATCTGTTAACGTTGTTATTTTCTGGACATTTTTCCACATACACATAACTTAAGAGCTCCATATATATTTCTTCTAACAAAACATCATATACTATAACTGATCTCTTAAAGATTTAAATATGCAGGGAATATTTTTCCTTTTTTGTGCATTTTTCACTCTAACCCTATAGTTCTTTTCTGACCCTGGCCAATATTGTGCTCAACATTTACCAATTTAATGTGTGATTAAGAAGAATTATTGCTTACTGTCTCTGAAGGGATGCAGGATTTTAACTACCTCCACACGAACTGCTTTGAGATCACTCTGGAGCTCAGCTGTGATAAATTTCCTCCAGCGACGGCTCTCGCCAATGAATGGCTGGCCAACAGAGAGGCTCTAGTATCCTACATGGAGCAGGTGAGACGACATTTTAAGGCCAATTCATAGACGGCAACCAAAATGCACATTATATTACATACTCCAAAAAATAATGAGAAATAAATAAATTATTCAAGAAGATACAGACTAGAAACAAGTCAGTGCAATAACATAACTTACTTACCTAGGCTTTAGTACAAAAAAATAAGTCTTAAAATAAGTATTAACACGTATTCCAAGCAGTTTATTTAGTTTAATTATCTTAAAACTAGGTATGCTTTTCTTATTTTGTGTGCAATGGTCTTAAAACAAGAGACAACGTTTTGTCTTTAACTTTAACAAGATTATAGTATGAATTAAATCAATGTCGCACACATGCACATTATCCACAAATCTTTATTTAAATTAAGACTTGACAGTATCTAAAATGCAAATATATGACTTTTCTATACTGAAGCTTATTGCAGCAAAACATAACTTAATTATAATTGCATTTTTTCATTAAAGAACAAGCATAAGTGTGACTGAGCATATTTGGTGGCCTTAAAAGTACTTAAAACAAGTTATTTCATCTAAAACAAAGTCTTTAAAATACAAGGCCGATCTTTTATTATGTCTCTGATTGTAATTAAGCACAATTTGCAGGTAAATACCTAACTTTATGCTTTACTACCAAAGAAAACAGATAAATAATCTTAAATTAATTATAATAATCTTACACAATCTGATCTTGCATAGTATTTTATTCTTTAAAAAAGATCAATAAGATTTGTTTGGCTGGAAATAATTATATATATATGATAGAAATAAAAATAATGTCTTTTTTTTTAAGAAAATCCATAATCAACATATGGCGATTTGAATTTGTTCAATTGTACAGTTGGCTGAAAACAAGCAAGTCAACACGGTAGTCACAAAATGGAATAATTAATCCTGAAAACTTAACCAACTGTTGGTCGGCTGAAATGTGAAATGGCTTTTACTGCTACAGTTTCAGCTCTCTTAACTCGTAAAGAAACAAGTAGAAGTTCAAACTCTTCCATAAGTACATTTAGCAAACGGAGAGGGCCAGTATTATAGTGAACACAAGTAAGAAGGACAAATTGGTTCTCCATAACACCGGCCGGTAATGAACCTGTCCCCAGGTACTTATAATGTGAAACTGATATGAACCTTCAGGGGTCTCGTTGTGAGTTTAAGTAACTCTAGACTGTTCGCTAGCACATTTAAAGTAATGGATGGAATCGGTTTACCACTTTGAGTGCAGTGCCTGACCGTAACGAAAGCTTAATTGACATATCATGGCCCTATCCTGTATTCCAGGTGCACCATGGGATCAAAGGAATGGTTTATGATGAGAACAACAACGCAATTAGCAATGCAGTGATCTCTGTGGCAGGCATAAGCCATGATATCACCAGCGGTAAGTGTTGTTCTATGTCAAAAGCTGAGTTTGTCTGATGTCCATACTTGAACTCATTATTTTATGTGTCTGATGTGCTCTCAGGGACGCTTGGAGACTATTTCCGCCTACTTTTGCCGGGTACCTACACGGTGACGGCTTCTGCACCAGGTTACCAGCCCTCAACCAGCACGGTGACAGTGGGACCAGCTGAAGCGATACAGGTGATAAATAATATCACAAAAACACTATTTACTTCTTTTTACAAAGATTACCTTTCTCGGATATGCAGCTGCTTATAATTCTGTTATTTACTCACCCTTTCAATCCCTTGAGACCTTTGTTTATCTATGCAATATTGTAAATGAAATTTGAGAGCTCTCTCATCCTTCATAGACAGCAATGGTTCCAAGATGTTCAAAAAGAAAAAAAGGACCCAAAAACAGATTAGTCAGATTAGTGATTTGTCAGATTAGTTGTTCAACTGTAATCATATGAAGCTTCAAGAACACTTTTGTGCACCAACAAACTGTAAAAATGACTTTGTTCGCCAATGTGTTATTCATCAGATCAGGGTGTGTGTTTACAGTACGTGGAATATGGTGTTTGCATGTTGCGCTGCAGACTCTAAAGGCAACACAGTGTACTTCAAGAAGTAAACACCCTGATGACCTGATGAGCAAGAGAAAACATTGGTGAACAAAGTAGCAAGTGTTCTTGGAGCTTCATATTATTACAGTTTACCCACTGAAGTCACACAGAAAGGACTTTGAACATCTCAGGACTGTTGCTGTCTATGGAGGATAATAAACAAAATTTTCATTTTGGGTTAATTTTTGGTGAAATCACCTTTTAATTACTATGTTTTAAAGGAAAGAAATAGGTACCATTTGAACGAAATGGGTACAGTGTCAAAACAAATTATTTTTAAAGTGTCCTTTGATTGGCATAAGATCTATTTACAGTTTTGTATCAAGACACATACTGTACAAGGTGTTGGATAGTTCATACTAGTCTGACTAATGGAAATTTGCTGAATGGTGAAAAAGCATTAAAATGTCAGTACTGCCTCTCTAACATATGTAAAACTTTATTTAAAACTTTTATCAAAAACTTTTATTTTTTGGACTGCCTGACTTTTTTTTTTTTTAATTATGAGACGAACAATGAAGGATGCATTTTTGGACCCAAAAAACCTTTACGATTTTATTCTGAAAGTTAAAAAATATATATTTTATATCTTGTATTTATTTGGTTCTATTTCTTTTGCTTTCATGTTGTTAAATATGTATTGTTAATATCCTATGCAATAGTCAATTAAATATTTTTTTCTAACCTTTTTATTTTATTTTTTCTCATTCCAGTTGCATTTCACTTTAAGAGCTCAGCCAAAAGGAACGAACTTGAACGTGAAGCCCTATCTCAACAAGAAGGGCCTATCGACGGCTAAAATTCCTCCCACCAACCTTGGCCCAAGATAAAGAGCAAAAACTCTTCTCTCGATACAGACAAAACAAGTCTTTACAGTTTAAACTGAAGAACAACAAAGAGAAACATGGACTCTCACTGTGACAAACCTCATCTTCCTTGTTTGTATAGATGCATAAAAGCGGGTTTTTCATTAAGAAATCCATGTTTTGCTCATGTTCTTGTGGAGCTTAAATATATGTATGTCATATAATGGGAACAGGAAAAGTAGAAAATATAAGAAAAAAGATATTTCTCGTATGAGAAATCAGTCTTAGATTAATGGAGACATTGAGATGGACTGTTACTGGAAATTATGTCTGAATATGACAAGGTGTTGATCAGTTTGTCTCCCATTTGGATAATGATAATAAAATAAACATTTTATCATTTAAAATGAACTGAGATTGGTGTTTTATCCATTATTTGTGCAATTACTGTTTTAATTAAAATATGAAATTAAGTATTTAAAAAATTGAAGTATTTAAAATAGTCTCTTATTAGACTCATATTGGTGCATGTGATTTATTGTAAAAATGTAAAGAAATTTTCATGAAGGCACAATACACCCTTCAACTATTAATGTACATACATTTTGTTAATTTAATCTTTAAATTTACGTTTTCTTTTTGTATACAAAGTACAAATGCAAGGTATTTGCTGAAATAATTTGTGTATAAAATTATATATATATGATTAGTATAAAGTGAATTTCATAAAGCGGTTCAGCTGAAGATATTTGCTCATTATTTATTCTCCCCTCATGTTGCTTTAAACCTTTAGGAGTTTCTTTGTTCTGTTGACCAAAATAAAAGATATTTTGAAGAATGTTGGTTGCATCAACTTCTATAGGAAAAAAATACAATTGAAGTCAACTAGTTACCAGCTACAGTACTAGCATTTTTCAAAATATCTTCTTTTGTTTTTAAGGCGAGGCAGTGGCGCAGTAAGTAGTGCTGTCGCCTCACAGCAAGAAGGTCACTGGTTCGAATCTAAGCTCAGTTGGCGTTTCTGTGTGGAGTTTGCATGTCTCCCTGCCTTTGTGTGGGTTTCCTCCGGGTGCTCCCGTTTCCCCCACAGTCCAAAGACATGCAGTACAGGTGAATTGGGTAGGCTAAATTGTCCGTAGTGTGTGAATGTGTGTGTGGATGTTTCCCAGAGATGGGTTGCGGCTGGAAGGGCATCCGCTGCATAAAAACTTGCTGGATAAGTTGGTGGTTCATTCCGCTGTGGCAACCCCGGAAAAGGGACTAAACCGACAAGAAAATGAACTCAAATAGAAATTTTAAACAAGTGAAGGTTGATGATAAAATGATGGCATGTTAATTTTTGAGCAAACTATCTCTTTCAGATATGTTAACCAAGTACATGTAAAAATCAAGTAAAAAAGTAAAAAGCAAAGACTTGTTTTCTGCAAAATTGTTGATGTGGCAAAATGATTCATAAGCTCAGCAATTATTGTATGAATAATGCGCATTTGTATATATTTTATGATTTATTTTGCAGACTCCTTTCGTTCAGTGGAATATTAAAGAAAAAAAATTGTTTAAACCATGGTAGTGATTCATCAAACATTCAAAAAAGTCAAAGACTACCATTAATCTGATAGTGAAATAAGAACTAATGCAAGCAAGTTAACACTGTGCCTCCTGATGATACATTGAGGTCTTATGAAATTAAAGATCAGTCTGTGCAAAACACATAATTCACACAGCCTTCTTTTGCCAACTTATTTTTGGGTGAACTATCCAATAATGTTGAATTCCTTATTGCAAACCTGACTGAATTGCTGATGATATCATCTTCTTATGCACAAACATATGATTATGTCAAAAAAAACTATTCTACAAGCCTCAACTTCTCTCGATTATGCAAGTTTTCATACAGTAGCTTATACAGTGTTTTGAACTGTGTTTTCGAAGGTTTTTATTCTTAATAAATTCTCCTCTCAACTACGAAAGCTTAGATAAAATCATTTTTACCTAACTCTAAACAACACTAGGGGTCAGTGGTGTAGCGGTACATTCAAATCATTGCTATTACTAAGTGAAAAAAGCTTTGAATGTAGAAGAAGAGAATCCTAAAGACTGCAGAAAATGTAAAAGCAAATAACTTAAGAGCATTACAACATGACATACAACAAGTGTGACTAAAATTCTCTTTGAAACTAAATACATTAACAAAAAACTGTCATTAAAAAAGCAATAAAAAAGTACATTCACCCCAAAATGAACTGTTTTAGCATTATATTTGAATTCAAGAACATTCAAAGACAGACATGACTAAATATGTATAATAATCAAAGCTTTATGTTGCAAAAAAAATGTATGCAATCAGGGGCGCCTGCAGGATTTTATTCGAAGGTATGCACAAATCCAGCACCGCCCCGCCCCCTTCATATCAAGAAACACTGATGCTTACTGTCAAAGGCAACATAAGGATATTCGTTATGACATTCAACTATTTGTTTCCTTTTTAAAATTAATATATTTTCTTTGAGGGGTGAAGCAGTGGCACAGTAGGTAGTGCTGTCACCTCACAGCAAGAAGGTCGCTGGTTCGATCTTCGGCTCAGTTGGCGTTTCTGTGTGGAGTTTGCATGTTCTCTCTGCAATTGTGTGGGTTTCCTCCGGGTGCTACTGTTTCCCCCACAGTCCAAAGACATGCGGTACAGGTGAATCAGTTAGGGTAAATTGTCCGTAGTGTATAAGTGTGTTTGTGAATGTGGGTGTGGATGTTTCCCAGGGATGGGTTGCGCTGGAAGGGCATCCGCTGCGTAAAAATGTGCTGGATAAGTTGGCGGTTCATTTTGCTGTGGCCCCTGATTAATAAAGGAACTAAGCCGACAAGAAAATGAATCCATGAATAAATATTTTCTTTAAAATCTAAATGTAATAAAAGCACATCAGCACAAAGAAAAAATCCGATGCTCAAGACATAAACTTTAAAATTATGACATACTAAAAAAATACTAATAATATGATAATATGACAGAAGATTGTGATACAATCATATATAATAATATGACAGAAGATTGTGATACAATACAATTAGTGAAGCATTAATTAAATCCTTACTTTCAACAGACCGAAAATCATCCACCTTTACTGTTGAGTAGTGGACAGGCTCAAACGAAACTATATTTTTCTTAGAAAATATGTTTTTAAAACGAATTTTGTATATAGTTTGTCTCTTTGTTGTAATATTTTTCTTGGTCAGTTATCTTCTACATACAATAGAAGAACGAATAACATTTGAGGTGAACGTGCTTCAAAACAAAGTCGCTAACAATACCGAATCAATCAGGAACTGGATTGACAAATAAAACAATAATCTAGCCTAAATAAAATGAAAGTTAAACATTCTGTTTCAGAGAGGTCTGTATTTAATCGTTTTCCATGTTGTGCCGGTCAATTACAATTTAATTCATTCAATCAAGTGATTTGAATGAGCAGGACAGGTGTTTACAAAGTATTTGCGACAGCACTGAATATGTTCCCACATTACCTCGGTGGAACAAACTCGGTTAGAATTAAGGGTGAGAAAACTCAAACTCATTGTAAGAATGGAGATGTCTGCTTATTTATGCCAGTCTGTCAGATAAAAATAGTTTAAAACACCTTGAATGGTAGCTGTTCCATGCAAGGAGGCTACACAGCTAGATCTCATCTATATGATAAAAGATACAGTTCCCCCCCCGGCTTAGGTGCTAATGAGACAGCAGTCTCCACCTTGTGCTGGAGATCAGTATTTGTATCATCAGTTTTAGGCCTTTTGGCAAATGTCTACATTAGGTTTATCTGTTTTAAAGAGTGTTTACTCCTTTAACCTTGTTTTAAACAATAGCTATCTGAATTGTAATTTTTAGGTGGGGAAAACCGCCAGCAAAACTAAAGCCAAAGATTTCTTAACCCATCTCCCACCATGCAAGTACATGATACACACTTTAAAACACTCAAACACACACCTTTATTTATTATCATTCTTTCTTGCTTTGTCAATATATCATATTGTATACTGTTTAATAAGCAATTTAAATTATGTAATAAATAAATAAAAAGCTGCATTAAGTCCAGCCCTCTCATGGTACGTACGGCTGCAGACGCCACTGTATGCAATAATCATTTCGCCGGTGAGTGGGCTTGAAAAACCACCTGTAGAACACAGTCTCTTATCTCTGTGTGCACCAGACCCTTTCTTATCAACACGCATAAAATATATAGTAATAATAGCATTTAGACTTGTATATATAGTAACTTAAAGTTATTGTAACATTTACATACTGCAACTACCTGGTGATTTTTTTTATGCTTAATTTATCTTCACTTGTATGTCACATTGGATAAAAGCGCCTGCAAAAGGAGTAAATGTATCTACTTTAGATGCAAAGATTAAACTACAGTGCTAAAATGTCCTGTGTTCTTCCTGGGTATAACACAATACCCTTTGAATAACAGGAAAAAGGAAAATGTCATCCAGGAATGTCGTGCTTGAGGATTAAAAGCTCTGCCGCTGGAAAATCCGAGCACTACTTAATCTCTCAAAACCAAGAATTATGTTGTTTGGAGAGCCGTTCCATCAATAAAACAAAATTGAAAAAAAAAAATCCGCCAAGAAAAAAAGATTATTCATTCCAACTATTAGTGGTCTGTTTCCAATCAACAAGAAAAGATCAACAATCTGGCTTTTACAGTCTATATTAAAGTGTCTAAAAGAAAATGACAGGGCTTGCGTTGTATGAAAATGACACAAAGTTCATGAATAGAACAACAAGAATGAATAGCAACAAAGAGCATCAAGCTCACATCGGCTTTCTCAATGAAAATGTCACAGTGGGAACAGACAACAGAAGCTTTTCATGCTTCCAGGATATGACAGATCTGGCATTTTCCCATAGATGCTGTGGGCATGTTGTGTCAGAGCGGCTTACAACACAGAGCTCAATGTCACAATGAAACCCACGCGGCAGCTGTTATTATCTGCCCTCGCTCAATAGTGGATGCGCACACTTGGCTTGGGCTTTCAGAATCAAACAAAACTCCAAGTCAAGTAAATATTCTAAGTCAGATGACAGTTGTTGGAAATGAGTGGATTGTGCACAGAATGATGTGTCTGTGATGACGAAGACGTGATAAGTCTTGCTCTACATTACAAACAAGGGCCTCACATGCAGCTTCCTGACATTGTTTTTGAATATAAGGAAGTTTTAGGTAATGCAGACACAGCAGAAATATTCTAACCTCTGACAGTGGTTGAAACTGTGTCCTAAAACATTGTTCTCTTTCCTAGTGTAATTAATATTGAACTGATTCATTTTCATAAACCGATAAAATGCTTTATAACTTTATAGATGTTGTTGCCGATATTGTTGTTATTTTTTAAGCTTTGCAGTATTATTACCAAATGAAGGGTATTTGTATTCTCAATCTCTGAGAGTAAAATAATTTAATCAATCAATAAATCGTTAAATAAATAAGTTGCTATATAAGAATAATAAAGATTTCATCAGTTTTAAGTACTGTCTGTTGCAAAAACTTTATTAAATATTTTTTTAAGTAAATGATGCTGATATTTTTAGATGCATTTTGTCATAAAATGTTTAAAATTAAAGTAACAAAAATCTTAATATTAATCTTAATATTAATTATTTCATAAAAATAAAATTTCTTTGAAAATGCAATTTATATTGCAATAATTTGTTGCAATAATTATTTTGTGAAATTGATTTTTTAAAATATCATTTCCTTATTCCAATGCAAAATTTTGCAATGAAAGGTTTTTTTTCTACTATTTGTTTTAACACAGCAACTTTTGTGAAACCATTGAAAAAGTATAGCTGAACACAAGTATATTTAATAATTGATTATTCATTCATTCGTTTTCTTTTCAGCTTAGTACCTTTATTAATCTGGGGTCACCACAGCAGAATGAACCGCAAACTTATTCAGCAAATGTTTTACGCAGCGGATTCCCTTCCAGCTGCAGCCCATCACTGAGAAACACCCATACACTCTCATTCACACAGCTGCAGCCCATCACTGGGAAACACCCATACACTCTCATTCACACACATACACTACGGACAATTTAGCTTATCCAATTCACCTATACCGCATGTCTTTGGACTTTGGGGAAACCGGAGACCGGACAACATGCAAACACCACACAAAAATGGCAACTAAGCAATTCGAGGCTCGAACCAGCGACCTTCATGCTGTGAGACGACAGTGCTACCCACTGTGCCACTGCAGCGCCCTAATAATTGATTACATATTCCAAAATAACAATTCACAATTAAATTTGATTAAAAACTGTATAAATTATTCATTCATTCATTTTCTTGTCAGCTTAGTCCCTTTATTAATCCGGGGTCACCACAGTGGAATGAACCACCAACTTATCCAGCAAGTTTTTACGCAGCGGATGCCCTTCCAGCCACAACCCATCTCTGGGAAACATCCACACACACATTCACACACACACTCATACACTACGGACAATTTAGCCAACCCAATTCACCTGTACCGCATGTCTTTGGACTGTGGGGGAAACTGGAGCACCCGGAGGAAACCCACGCGAAAGCAGGGAGAACATGCAAACTCCACATAGAAACACCAACTGAGCCGAGGTTCGAACCAGCAACCTTCTTCCTGTGAGGCGACAGCACTACCTACTGCGCCACTGTGTGTGTGTGTGTGTGTGTGTGTGTGTGTGTGTGTGTGTGTGTGTGTGTGTATAACATATATATATATATATATATATATATATATATATATATATATATATATACACACACACACACACACTGTACATAAAACATAATTTGTTAAAATGATTGTTTAATTCTAGTGTGAACATTTTATTATTTTAATGTATTTACTTTCAAACACAAAAATCAACAGCATTGTTATTAAAATAGACAAATACACAAAATTTGTACATTTTGGTAACTACTAACCTGCAAGACTTGAACTTAAAATGCACATATATCTATAAAATAAAAGTGAGATATATAACAACTGCAATGGAGTGAAATAAAGCACCAATCCAATAGTTTCACATAAGAAGAGTGATTTAAATGCCTACTTTGTTTAAACTCTATTAAAAACGGACACGTAATACCTCGTGTTAAAGCTCCTGCAGGATTTTTCTTCAGGCATGTGGAAGGCAGCCCTGCGCTTGCTGTCAGCAGAGGGTGGTGTGTGTGTGTTGATGTTGATGTCAGCATGGAGGCAGTTCAGGATCAGCCTGCTCATGCTGGCGCTTCCATTGGGATGACAGCTGATCCCGCCGTGGCATAGATGAGCATCGGGATCATCTGATCAACTGCAGAGAGCGAGCCTAGTCAATGACAGGCGGCTGAAACGCACGTTCGTCTCATCCGAGGTTTATATTTCACTCAACGATACAAACTTAATGGCAGAAGAGAAAACCCGAACGAGCATCAACTGGAAAGGAAAGTTCCCTTGCTGTCGATTTTTATAGTTTCCTGCAGCGCTGTCTGACCACACTCAGGACATTTGTGATCACACAGGTGAGTGAAATGTTTTATTTTACCAAGTTTAAGCGTATAAGTTAGTGTTTAGTGTTTTTAATGGTAACGTCGATTACGTCCAAACGAACCGCGAGTTCAGTTGAGCTATAACATTCTCTCTCTTGTTTAAATCTGTTTCACTGGTATTGTTTTGTATAAATAACAGTCTTGTGAGAGTTCCGTCAGTTATACTTGTGTTCAGCATCGGCCAACATGCAAATATGTACATTTGCTTGCCGTTTTCTTTAGAAAACACGATAAACCGTTAGCGGAGGGGGTTTGATTCTTTTTAGTGATTCGAATCTTTAGAATCGATTCTCGTTGCTTTTTCAACAGGTTGCGCTTTACACCGGCGAGTCTCATTGAGTCACTGATTGAATCTTCATTCTGCTGAGTCCGAAGAGCTTCCAAAACAAGTCTGAACGTGATAGTCAAAATATCGACTAATCACATGGGCGTACTTGTTTTGGAGAAATGCTTTATCAAACCAAATATGTGGAAAAACAGTCTTAAATAAGCCTAAGCTGGTTGCATGGTTTTAAATTAGCGTGTTCACAATCTAACCAGGCTGAATTTTAACTGGTTTTGTGGGTCCAGCTGGTTTAGAGCTTAGTTTCCCGAGTCCCGAATAACTTTAGTTTAAAATTGCTCAAATAAGAGAATACTCCTCCAACGTGACCAGACTGGTAAACCAGTAGACCAGCTTAGACAAGACTCTGGCGTTTTAAATATGTTGAATTTGCTGGAGAATATGAATCATTCATTCAAATCTGATGACTGTTGTAAATCATGAATATCCAGTCAAGCTGAACATACACAGTTTACATCTCATTAAACAACAACAAGTCTATTGAAACAGAATCTAAAGTTACGTTTGATTCCTGTCACCTGTTAGAAATGGCAACTGTTGTCAGTTGTCTCTCTTGCTGAGAAAGCAACAGCATGTCAGGCTTTAGGACACCATTCATTCACATAAAAACAAATTGTGCGCTATTCAATTGTGGTGAATAAACTTCTAAAGGTGTTGGCTTTTGTAACGGCGATTCATTCATCTGAAGATTAACGGAACTCTTATTTGTCTGTTCTGCAATCCAATATTCACAAACATTGTTGTGTTTGTCATTCAGTCCTCAGAGATGTAGTCAGTTCCTGTGCAACAGGTTTAGGCTGCTTTTCTGTGGAGATCTTAAGTATTAGATGGTTAAAACATGCTCTGATTTTTTTAGAACTGGAAAAAAATAGGCAACTTAGTGTTGACCAAATAACCATGTTTGCATATCACACAGGTTTTTATTTTACTTGGTGTTTCATGATTATGTTAGCTGTTGTACACATTATTTTTCAATACATGCAATTATGGAAAATGTGACAGACCACATGAATATTTTCTGTTTATGGTTGCATTTGAGTCTATTTTTAGTTTGCTAAATATTCTAAAGTGACAAAGTAAAAAACAAAAACAAATGACATGCCATGTCTTTAGACATTTACTGAGGACAACACCTATACTTAATACATAAATACACTTCATTTAACATTTACACGTAAACATCACCTATATGCTTTAAAAGTGCAGGGTTACTATGTCTTTAAATACTCACTTATATTTGATTGTAACTTTAAAGGTGCAGTAGGTGATCTGCTTAAATGCTAAACGGTTAGCATAATATCTTTCAAATACAGTCCTTCCCCTGTCATCCAAAGCCACTCGTCGTGGCTATCATAAACGCACATCTTAAAGATGACGAAGACCCACTAGCTCATGTCATTCGCCAGTTAGAAAACTTTATAGTACTTTATAATACCACAATTCCCAATGAAAAACTGTATTATATCTAGCACATTTTTAGTTGTGCAGTTAACAAGCAAAACTTGTCATCACTCTCTCATCAGTCTCACTCATCAGTCTCACTCTCTCACATGCTTTGTCCTAAAGCAACTACTGTATGCTTAGTCTTATGCCTTATGTAGAGTTCAGACTACTTTCTAAGTTGTCATGTCACAGTTGTTTTCACCCTGCATGACTATCAGGGGTGGCCTTTCGTCGCTGCTTTGTTTACTCTGCTAGATGGATTGGCGACAGAGGGTTTCACGCCGCATGACTTTACAATAGGAGAGTCACCGACAACTTTGTCCAAACTGTGTCTCTCAACCAAACATACGCGAGAAGTTACATTAGAACAACGCAACGTCACATAGTTTATCTTTTGTTATTAACTACATAATGAGAAAAGAAGCCTTTAGTGGGGTAGAAAATGATTTTGCTCACCTGGCCTTTAAAGGGAATTAGAAATTTCTCCTCAACTTTTTAGTTTCGACCCGGTTGTGAATTTGCTTAAGTGACACGTCAAACTGCTGCTGCCAAAATAGTTTTTTGACTATTTCTTGGGTCCAAATAGACTGAAAATAAACATTTTTAACTTTTCCTCCAACCTCCAGCTGGCCTGCAAGTACCCACACTGGTGGATGCTGCACTCTCATTGGCTGTAGGTAATCACCAATGTTATTTTCAGTCAGAACATATTTCACATGGCCTGATTTGAATCGCTGATAACTCCAGATATTTAGCATGCCAAATATCTCACGGGCGTCGGTGACTCATCGCCGATTCTCTTAGATTTTTTGTAGTTCACACTGTGTGATTGTCACTCATGTGAACGAGCACCGATTGGCTTGTGATTTCAGGTGTTTGCCTGCGATTTCTCAAAACATGTCGGCGAGTCAAAATCAGGGCTAAAATCATGCAATCTAAACTCTACATTACCCAGAACATAAAATACATATAAATACATTTAGATCATTTACTTTTATCATTACTATTGTAATGCGAAGAGACTTTCAACCAGCACAACAAAAAAAGTTTCTGAAAACAATCACCTACTGCACCTTTAAATTATTTTATTGTAATGCAATAATATGCACCTTTTGGAAAGCTGCTTTGAAACAAGAATTGTTGTAAAAGCACTATACAAATAAAATTGAAATTATATATGGATGTTTAGACTAAACAATATCAATGATCTAACTTATGACCAGTTTATAAGAAATAGGTGGATTAATCTGATTTTTATAAAAATATTTGTCAAGAAAATGCTCTAAATTAAAATGTTATATTTACATTTTTCTCAAAAATTCTTAGTAAATTAAATACAACCAGAAAAGCTGAGAATTAAACATAGAAAACTGTAGAAAGCCAACTCAAAGCAATGTTCCTGGTTCCACATGAAGCGTTTGAATTATTAATATAGCAGGGAGTAGAAGCATTACCTGTCCAAGTTTGTCATCCAAGCCTTGTTGTGTTGATATTATGAGACATGTCTGATATTTGAAACATGACTGCTAATTCAGTGATGTTTGATCATTACACCAGTTCTGCTAAATGACACCTGCTTCTCAAAATGATATCTGTCATTTTACACGTGCTGCTTTTACCCGTTCTCCATCAACAGATGTCATTTTGATTTGATTCACTGGAGAGTGCGGGTTGTGTTTATAACGTATAGAGACTTAGCTTCACAACACTTGTAGCCAAGAGAAAAAGTTGTGAACATTCCTGGCATTCTTTTCCAGCCACAACTGATGTTCACATAGCTTTGGAAAAAATGACTTCTTAAATCACTAGGGAATAGTGTTTTGGCATTGTCTGTGAGAGAGCAGTATTGTCCCCTGACACTCTCTGACTCGACAGTAAGCTTATAGTACATCTCTCAGCAAGTGTACACTATCACTGATATCAGATATCTGTTTGTTTTGTTTCATAATGTGCACCATTCAGATTTAACCACTACAACTGATGGCTGCCATTTGTTTACAGCACCAGCTGTGAGGCCTTGTGTTGCACATGATCTTTACTCATTTACTCTAAGAAGGACTGAACTCGTCAGATTAGGGTACAAAATGGAGGTCATGTGGAACCAGGTCATGTGACTACAAACTTGCAAAGGTGATACAAGCCAAGTGTCATGAAATGAGTCAGAGATTGATGACCGTTTCTGTCCACTGGATAATCTAAAAGAACTCCTATCCTTTTTGGTTTTCAAGATGACAATGAGTTTTTGGTCTATGGTGGATGATTTTGTGTGTTTGGAAGAGCTAGTTTTTTTGTTTTAGAAATTCTTTTATCTTTAGCCAGCTTCACGTGGGTCTAAATCACACCTCTTTTAGTGAATCAGGAAAAAAATGACTTTGTGTTGCCAAAATGACAAAGATAGAGCTATGTATGCTATATTCTAATGAACTGTAATGTTGCACATATTGAGCAGCTTTATTGTCAATGTTAAATCATGGCTTTTAAAATGATGCATTTCTATAGAACAGAAATTGTCTTAAGATGCTAAAATTTAATTGCAATTATGATTCAGTAAGGTAGCATTGCATATTTAAAATGTATATAAGCAAAATATTATTTAACACTAGAACTACTAAGTAGGGTTGGGTCGATAGATGATGCCATCGTCCATCGCGATGGGCGATAGCCATCACTATGCTCAGCCGGCATTGCTTCACAGCAGCAACCCACTCGTGAAAAATATACACCCCGTTTACGCTAATATGTCGTGGTTTTAAAATGGCATTTTAGAACAAAAACGATCTCCGTCCACATTATCTTTTCACCCAGCATTTCTGAAAAGCCCTCCTTCCACACTATACCGCTGAAAATGCACATTTGACCACACACATGCACACACATAAACACTCTGCATGCGCTGCAGCGTCTGAGCAGTCACCCAAAGAGCAGTGCACGTTGGACTGTTCAAGGATATTAAGGATGTACCGCTGGATTGTGTCTCACTAATTGTTAAATGTGACATTTAATTAATCTTGTCTCTATCTAACAGCTCTTCTGTCTTTTAAATCTTTAAGGTAACATGTCACAGCATCAGTACACTGCTTCAATTTTACGCTTTCCAGTGTTCCAGTGTTAAATCCCCAAATCAGTGGAGAGATCAATTTAATTCTGAATTGAATCGGATCATTATTCATTTGCAGAAGCATATTTG